CCCCCCCCCCCCCCCCCAATTCTAAAATCATCTAAAAATACCCTAGAGGCAAGTTACAAAGAGAGGTTTGCTAATAATAGATGATGATGAAAGATGATTATAATATCATTGTATCGCCTGCTCAACACAGAAAATAATCAAATGTAAAAGTTTTTTTTATAAAAAGTATGATACTGAAAAATGATAAATTAATATAATATTAGAAATGCTTTGTAGTTAAAGATTTTTGTCTAGTTTGTTTATAATCATTGATTGAAAAAACTTAGATCTATCTCACAGGGTCTTTTCCCCCCTCCCCCACCAAAAAAAAAAGCCCCCACGCACCCCAACCCAACCCAACCCAACCCAAAACCTTTCCTTTGGACTTTGGAGGTGAAACACTAACAGTTGAACTATTTTATTTTTTTTTTCATTTGTCGTTTGATAATATAATTTTCTATACCAATAAATATGAAAAATTAAACATATTAGCACAAACATAATTAGGATTTAGACCGAGCTAACAAAAAAATTAGGATTTAGGAGGTTGTGGCAAGCCTTTGGTTTGGGCTAACCCTACCGAATTGGGACTTGGGCTAGAGGGGGCTTGAACCTGTGGGCTTTTTTTTTTTAACATCCCTAGAGATTTATCGAGTCAAATAAATTGGAGATATTAATTTTTAGTTCACGACTTAATGCTGCATTAATTAGACAACGCATCTGACAATTTATAATTCTTACTTTAACTGTATGAGAGAGAGAGAGAGAGAGAGAGAGTTTTTTTTTCAATTGCTGCATTATATCGTTGAATTGGCAATGAAGACCTGCACTATTAATTAAGCAAAGCCAAGCATTCCTCAAAAGGTTTCTTTATTTATAATAATAGCAATTGATAACAGTAGTATACGGAATATTACTGATAATAANAATTGCTGCATTATATCGTTGAATTGGCAATGAAGACTTGCACTATTAATTAAGCAAAGCCAAGCATTCCTCAAAAGGTTTCTTTATTTATAATAATAGCAATTGATAACAGTAGTATACGGAATATTACTGATAATAATATTTCTACTTTAATTTGGATAATATAGGGCAAGGAAGTATGGATGGCCAAACCCCTATGTATTTACAAAGGCAATGGGAGAGATGCTCCTGGGGCACTACAAAGGAAACATACCCCTTGTTATCATTCGTCCAACCATCGTAACCAGTACTTACAAAGAGCCGTTTCCTGGTTGGGTTGAAGGGATCAGGTATTCCACCAAAACACGACTTTTCAAACTATATGGATTATGATGTAAACCAACAAGTCAATTTTTTAATATTTAAATTATATGGGATTTCTCATAATTCTAGAAACTTTTATTTGGTTAGTTATGAGAAATAATGGAAAGTAAAACTGTAAGATTTTCCAATTTTCTGTAAATGGCAATTCATCTTCTTACAGAGCTAGCTACAAACAATTTACATAGGGAGCATTAATTTTTGTGTTTGCAGAACCATTGATAGCTTGGCTGTTGGATATGGCAAAGGAAAACTCACATGCTTCGTAGGTGATCCTCATGCTGTCGTTGATGTGGTCAGTTTGACACATTCTTTTATTTTTAATTTTCATAATATTTTCTTGGCTACTGCAGACTTCACTACTGTACCCAAAAAGAAATTTCCGTACAATACTTACAACATTTATTACTTTAATGGGTATTTTTACAAATTTCTTGTGGGTTATTTTATAAAAAAATTACACTTTTTGTGGATATTTTTCTTACTTTTTTTCGATACAAAAAAATTACCGCTTTTTTGTGGGTGATTTACCACATTTTTGGGTATAGTTACTATTGTTGCGATCGTTTTTACCATTATTGTGATAACTAATTTTATTACTTTTTTGAGTACNTACATTATTGTGATAACTAATTTTATTATTTTTTTGAGTACCACAACAGTGATAAAAACACTCGCAACCGTTGTAAAAATATTCAANCACATTTTTGGGTATAGTTACTATTGTTGCGATCGTTTTTACCATTATTGTGATAACTAATTTTATTACTTTTTTGAGTACCACAACAGTGATAAAAACACTCGCAACCGTTGTAAAAATATTCAAAAATGTGATAAATAGAGGTACAGTAGAAATTTTTTTTTTGGGTACCATAGACAACTCTACCTAACATTGTGGGTTCATTCCTGTTACCCGCTCTACATCCTCTACTTTGTAGATGCCTTTATTTATATAAAATTTTTATATACCGACTTCCATACTATAAAATTATACACCATACATAATTCTATAAAACTATAATTTTAGNCCGCTCTACATCCTCTACTTTGTAGATGCCTTTATTTATATAAAATTTTTATATACTGACTTCCATACTATAAAATTATACACCATACATAATTCTATAAAACTATAATTTTAGTAAATACTATAGGTCGATTAAAATTACCTATTTGTATGCAAATTAATTATGTTCATTCTAATTCGAAACTATGCAGATACCAGCTGACATGGTGGTAAATTCNAGTAAATACTATAGGTCGATTAAAATTACCTATTTGTATGCAAATTAATTATGTTCATTCTAATTCGAAACTATGCAGATACCAGCTGACATGGTGGTAAATTCTATGATCGTTGCCATGGCGGGGCATGCAAATCAACATAATGCTATGAGCATTTACCAAGTTGGTTCTTCAGTAGCAAACCCAATGGTATTTACTGATCTTCAAGACTATGGTCTTCGTTACTTCACCAAAACTCCATGGATTAATAAGGAGGGAAAGCCAGTCATAGTTGGCAAGGTGAAAGTGTTGAGCACCATGGAGAGCTTCCACAGATACATGGCAATTCGTTACCAGATGCCGTTGAAGGTTTGTTTTCGTCATCATAACATTACTTAATTGAAATCAAATCACGAAATTTGGAAATCATACACTCTTTCGCATATATTCATCGTTGTTCTCTACGTCTTAGAAACCTAGACTTCAACACATAAAGAGAAAGTGCAACAGTTGACGATGCTAACGATTTACCTTATTAACCTTGTTTCATCATTTTTCAGGGATTAGAGATAGTTAATACAGCTCTTTGCCAATATTTCCGCAGCAAGTGTCTTGATCTTCGTCGAAAGATCAACTTTGTATTTCGATTGATAGAACTTTACAGACCCTACTTGTTCTTTAAGGGCATGTAAGTTACAATGCATACGTGTGAAAATTCACCTAATTAATATCTAAGATTCCTAAATATATAACAAACTTGTCTTCTTTACACAGATTTGATGACATGAACACTGAAAGATTACGTAGAGAAGCAATAGAGGGTGCCGTCGAGACAGAAGTGTTTTATTTCGATCCAAAGTGCATTAATTGGGAAGATTACTTTATGAATATCCACCTTCCTGGTGCGGTGCAATACGTATTCAAAAAATAACCATAAGAACAAATGTTGCGTTTTCGAAAATTTGGTAATTTACCATTTATAGTATATAGTTACTTGTTTTATTTTTATCCATCAATTGAATTGTTAAAACAAATGATTTTAAGCCTCCGAGAGGGCCAAATGTATGATAATTTCTTTTGATCATGTACAAGTATTAACTGTGCCAGTTTCCAATATTGGGATAAAGATTCAAATGTCAATTATTTTAATTTAGTGAAAATTGTTGAAAAGTACAGTTTTCGGACCTATTGACTTGGTTCCGATTCAGCTGTTTTTTTTTTTTTTTTTGGTCTGTAGTCTACATTAATTATTTTATTTTTATTTATTACAGAAATACCCCCATTAGGCATTCTCACATTTGTTGCCCCAGTCCTTCTCTCTCCTGCTTTTCTCTTTTCTCTCCATCTTTCTCTTTCTTCTCCGTCTAACTCGTCGGTGTCGGATCTCCGTTTAACTCCAGCATAAGAAAAGCTATAGACCAAAGTCAAAGCCACAAGGCCCTTGTTCTTTTTCGCCAAAATGAAGAAACTGATTCGGAACCGAATAATTTAACCTTCCTTTTTATAGCAAATGCCAATGTCCATGAGCTGGCATGGGGTAGGCCCACAAATTCTTTTGGGTCAAACTCGGAGAGAGAAAGTCCAAACCCATTATGAGACGAGCTGGGCTAGACTTTGGATAAGGATAAGTTACCCGTAGTCCAACCCACCACTCATAAGGTGGACTCTTTTTTTTAATATATATAATTTCATTTAAAAAGTTTCCACTTTAATATTTTGTAAATTATATTTTTGAATTAAAAGAATAATCAAAATAGACAAAAAAAATAAATAATAAATAATTTTATTTATAAGTAGGGGCAGGGGCGGAGCCACCTTATGCCCGGGGACCCTCAAAATTTTTTTTCTAAAATTATTTATCTGTATTTTAAGTATTTTTTCAATATATTAAATTGTGTCTACCCTATTTTTTAGCCAAAACCAAAAAAGGCATGATATATCCATGAGTTTACTTATAATTTTGACATTTATTTTAGTAATTATCACCGACATGATAGAGAATATACTTTATTGTGTAATCGAATGAATGATAAATAATTAAGTGATAATATAATTGTTATATAAATAATAATAATATTAAAGTTAATGCAAGACTTTTAACGTATGAAAATTCATTGAAGTCAATTCTAAATAGTTTTGATTAGTCTTTATTTGGTAAAAAGATATAATTAGCCTCTCTTTTTTTGTCATTTTAATGAACTTTTAAGAATCAAATAGGACATAATTAAATATAAATGCATTATTCTATTTTTATCAAATGCAAGAAAAAAATTACACTTGTTAAAATATATAGTACCCACCCTAAAACAATTTTTTGGCTCCGCCCCTAAGTAGGGGAGGAACCTATCTTTTTTTTTTTTTTTTTTAAATTGAGCATTAAGTGCATTTAACTTTTTTTTAGAGGCATATTTTGTCACCAAACTTTCAAAATTTCAATGATCAATTTTTTTTCAAACAATTGGATAGAAGAGAAGAAGGGCTGGGCGAGTGGGCTTTTGAATCAAGTAAATGATAATTCTAAATAGACATCTACAATCATATCTTTGTATGTTGAGAAGTTCAAATGAATTTAGACACGTTATATAAATTTCGATCAATAATATAAATTTATTTCTGACGCTCATATATATATGAGTCAACTTAACATTTTTTTCATGGTCTAATATTAAAGAAACAAATATATATTGATGGTGCTTGAAAGTATTAGCCCTAAGTGCAGAACAATGGTTATAAGACCCAATAAGGGGATGATGTGAATGTTTAGGTTAACAAAAAAGTAAGAGATGAAGTTGGACCAAGAAACAGTATGTAAGTGGTTCACCTTAGTTGAAGGACCAAACCTATATCCACTGTAATGAAAACTCTTGCTCTTGGGGGTTTATATTGCTTAAAGAAGAAGATTACAATAAGTTTCTTGACTTAAAATCTTTGCATACAGTGTCTTGTGAATACAATTTTTCTAGAACTCTCTTAATATAGTGTGTCTATGTTCTCTTTATACAAGTAATCATCTAGGGTTTCACGATTCTTTCATTCCCTTAGCTGATTCTGTGGCCCCCTCTTCCTTTGTCTTATAGTGGAACTTGTCATTTTGATGCCAATTGTGCCCACGATCCTTAAACAGAATGTACACAAATATTCCATTTATCAGAGAGTACGTATTCGTTAGAGACTTTAGAAGCTATCCCACTGTCCCCTGGACATGTGGCGTGATGGGAGATCCTCGGGATCTAACAAAAATCAAGCTCCTTGTTCTTGGGTTGATTTCCGCCAAGCTCGATTGTGGCTGAGTAGGAACGTACCGATCTGGGTGTTGTTGGACTCTTTTCTTTGGATTGTGACCTATTCTTATTTGCAAAGTGGGCAAGCTACAATGAGCCGTTTGGGCTGCCATGTAACCAGGGAGCCCATTAGATGCTCCGGATTTTGGATGGACAACTCAAGTCAAAATTTTATCATTATCAGGTACTGTATCATCGGTTATTATTTTTTTATGAGTAAAGTTACAATTTTAAAAAGAGAAATTACGATTGTTGAAGGGAAAATCATAATTGATTGCAGACATTAATGATCGATTATGAAAATTTTGGTTTCGATCTCAACTTTTCATAATCGATCATACGCTTTAAAATTATAACTTACACCTCAAAAAAATTATAATTTTTGATATGATATTATAATCTTTCCCAAAAAATAAACATAATTCTAATTTTTCAACTACAAGACAAGGTTAATTTAGTTGTTGTCGTACAGTGTGCAGTCAGTGACCTTAGACAGTCCCTTCTGGGTCAGTTTTGGACCTTTGAAAGATAATAATATAACCCATGTGGCAAGAAGTCATACATATGTACACATGGCTAGGAAGCTCTATAATTTCTCACTCTTACCAACTGCCCCAAGGGGTTTCAACCACTTGAGTTCTTCGAGAGAAAAGTCTAGTGGTACCACTCGGTAGGTGTATTAATTAAGCTGAATTTTTCGGTTTCTAATATATTCATTATCATGATAATATATATATGTTCAGACTCAATTTTAGGTTTTTTTTTGAACAAGACAATACCATGCATTAATATATTAAGTTGGGAAATTCAAATTACAATCAGACAAAAGAAAAGTCTTAAGCTCGGGAGAGGGGAGCCTAACCAATCCAATGGAAGGGAATTGGTTAGCTTAGCAACTGCCACCTAATGTTCAGTTCTATTACATGCCCTAGAGTGTAAAAAACTGAGGTTGTTTAACCTAGCAAAATATCTAATATCATCCATAATAATTTTAATTTCCCATGGGGGAACATCCTCCGTAGAACTAAGCTTGATAATGGAAAGACAGTCATTCATGATTGTGGCATTTGAGAGCAAAAGAGCATCAGCAGTCAGGCAAGCATGGCGAACTGCCTTAGCTTCAAAAAATAGAGGTGATACTATAAAAAGAGTCCGTGCAGCACCAAAAGCAAGAGCACCATCATCCATGCACAACACCACACCACACCATAAGCAGCCTTTTTAGATGTAGGATCAAAGGAGCCATCACAACACATAAGAGAATCATACCTTGGGAGTGTGGACTACACACCCGAATCCACAAGAGAACCTGAACTGGAATGAACAACAACAACCACCCTACACTGGGCATTCCATAAACATTGAGCACAAACAACCGCCGCAACGACGTTAACTTCTTCATCTCCAAAAAACCTTTTGGTTCCTTGCTTTCTAAATGACCCAGCCCACAGTGGCAACTTTACCCAAAACCTCCATTCTTCCCTAAGCATTCTCAACTTGCTCCAAAATCCAGGAAGATCTTTGCGCCATTGACAAAAAGGATTTCACATCCCACCCAAACGCCAAATTCATGCCAAACCAAACCCTTTTTGTCCATTCACATTTAAACAAAATATGTTTAGAAGATTAAACAACCAACCTACAATCAGGGCAGCATGGTGAAGGTACACACTTCCTTCGAAAGAGGTTCTCTCGAGAGGCCAAAATATTATGGCAAGCCCTCCACCAATGCTAAACCTTGGGTAAGGCCTTCATGTTCCAAATAGTCTGCCATAATTTAGGATGAAGGGAAGCGGACGAGCTGCACTCCAACTGATCCACTTGATGCATAGTGCCCAATCTATAACCAGGTTTAACAGTATACACCCCTGAACAATTAGGCCACCAAATTCTATTATCATTTCCACCAATGATCGATAATGGGATGACATTAATAAACTTGAAGTCCTCCATAGAGACTAGAGATGATAAACTAGGGGTGTGCCATCTAATAGGGTTCGACTTTACAAAATCAGCCACCTTGACAAGTTGGCAATCCGATGGTTTAGGAGATTGAACAGAGAGAGAAGAGGAGAGGGGAACCCATTTATCGGTCCAAAAATTAATCTCTCGAGCATTAACAACCTGCCACATGATACCCTTTGCAAGCAAATCCCTTCCAAAAAGAAGGCTACTCCAAGCCCATGAAGGCCTATTACCACGCTTAGCATTCATCAAATCTTCATTAGGAAAGTAAATCGCTTTTGTGAATTTTGCTCAAAAGGAATCGGGATGAATAATCAGCTGCCAGAATTATTTAGCCAGAATTATTTGATTGAATAACTTGAAATCCTTGAAGCCTATACCACCTGAAGCCTCAGACTCGGTCATCTTCAGCCACTTTTTCCAGCAAATGCCATTCTTCTCATCGATCCCCTTCCACCAAAAAAGTCTAACATAACTATTTAGCTTATTACAGAAACTGTTGGGAAAAGCCATCACAGACATGACATAATTGGGAATAGCTTGGATCATCACCTTGATCATAACCTCCTTACCCACTTGGGAAAGACAAGAACCTTTCCATCCTTGAAGTTTCCTAGCCACCCTTTCCAACAAAAAACCAAAAACCTCACTTCATGAACGTCCCCACATTGAAGGAATACCCAAA